GGGCTGGCTGGCATGTGATGCTGGGGGATTGAACCACGGTCCCTGTGCTTTGCTAAGCTTGTTCTAAGTAGGTGCTTTAGACCACTGAGCCATCTCACCAGCCCTCTACTTGAATTTTGGCCTTTACTTTCTAACTGTACAACCTTGGATGCAAGTTACTTAAATTCAAGCAAAGGACCCTTACTTTCTTCTTTTATAAAGTAGGAAATTGTATAGTGTTATTTACAAGCATTAAATATACATAGTACTGGTTACATAATTAGGAATTTAATAAGTGGTAGATAAAGAGAGTATTTTTTAGCCACAGGGCTCAACCATTTTCCTTCTTTTTTTTTTTTTAAATTTTATTTATTTATTTATTTATGTGTGTGTGTGTGTGTGGCCAGTTCATCCCACCAGGGGGCAGGGCTGGCTGGCATGTGGTGCTGGGGGATTGAACCTCGGTCCCTGTGCTTTGCTTAGCTTGTTCTAAGTAGGTGCTTTAGACCACTGAGCCATCTCACCAGCCCCCCATTTTCCCTCTTAAGAATGGTGTGCGTATGCGCATATAATAGTACACATCTATAATTCCAGCTGCTCAGGAGACGGAGGCAAAAGACTACAACTTTAAGGCCAGTCTTGGCAATTTAGCAAAACCTCTCAAAATAAAGAGGGCTGGAATGTAGATGTAGCTCAGCATTTGGGCACCTCATGGCTCAATCCCTAATGCCACACACACATGTTGTACACATACGCACGTGCACACGTGTGTGTGTGTGTGTGTGTGTGTGTGTACAAAAGCCTTGTGAAATGATGTATCTGAATATTACTTTCAAAAATCCAGGCAAAGGACAGGAAATATAGTTCAATGATATAGTATGTGTGTAGCACACACAAGGTCTTTGACTCCCAACACTGCAAAAAACAAAACCAAACAAAACAATCAACAGCAACAACATATCAACAAAAACCTGAAGAAACTAGAGGAATAAAACATGTGAGACACACAGAATACGAATGACAAGAAGTTAAAGTCTACCGGATGAAGGTAGGTAATACGTCCATGAAGGCTTACTGTACTTTTTTTAAAAAATTCTTTATGTGTTTGAAAACATTTGTAATAAAATGTGAAAGAAAAGAGGCACACTTTCCAACCAGGCCAGCATCCATCTCATCCCATCAGAAACACTGATATGCTCCGTGAACACCTTAAGACTTCTGCAAACGCCAGTGGATGCCAGGGAGACTTGTGTTCTGTTTATGTCCTTGACAAAACACATTTACATGTAACTCATTTGTTAAGAGGTTTCTTCCTTGAGAAACACCACTACTGCTTGAAAAAAACATTTCTGGGCTGGGGAGATGGCTCAGTGGAATAAGTGCTTCCCTGGCAAGCGCAAGGGCCTGAGTTCAATCCCCGGTTCCGCAAAAAAAAAACAAAAAAAACACACACACACAATTCTGACATATTTCTAATTAGAAATTTTACTGTATAAATTTTTTTAAAAGAGAGAAGGGACTGGGGAGATAGCTCAGTAGAATAAGCACTTGCCTAGCAAGCAAAAGGGCCTGAATTCAATCCCTGGTTCTGAAAAAACTTACGTTCATGCAAACACCTGTGCATAAATGTTCAGAGCAGCTTTCTTCCTAATTGTAAAAAAAAAAAAAAAAAAAAAGGAAGCAATTCAACAAAGACAGGGAAAATTAGATTAGAATTAGGATTAGACTGAAGAAATCTGGCCCTCTGCATATCTTAAACATTTTCTTATGACCTCAAGAACACTCTATAGGGCTAGGCTGGAGGTATAGCTAGCACTTGGCTAGCATATATAAGTGCCTCAGTTCAATCCCCAGTACCTTAAAAAAAAAAAAAAAAGTTGCTTTACTTGGAGACTCCCCTCTGCTGGCCCAAAAGGATTCTGCTACCACTCTGTGGGAAAAACATGCACCAGGCCCTGACAAATATGTATTCAGATTTTAGTTCCACTTCTGATAGGCTATGTGATATTAGCTAAAAATCATTTTTTTTGTGTTCTTGTTCTTCTTGTTCTTGTTCTTGTTCTTCTTGTTCTTGTTCTTCTTCTTGTTCTTCTTGTTCTTCTTGTTCTTCTTCTTGTTCTTCTTCTTCTTCTTCTTCTTCTTCTTCTTCTTCTTCTTCTTCTTCTTCTTCTTCTTTCTTCTTTCTTCTTTCTTCTTTCTTCTTTCTTCTTCTTGGTATTTTTTAAGGAAATCTCACTACTAGATCAGACTCATCGTAATCCACTTGTTTAAAGCCTCCCAAGAGCTGGGATTATACGTATGTGCCACCACGCCCAATCGTTGTCTCAGGGTGCCCTGGGGGTGGGGCTGGCAAGGCAGGCCTGAGGATAGAACCCCTGGCCCCTTCGCCTGCTTGCAGGTGCTTTAATCTGCTGAGCTATTTGGCTGGCCGGGCTCTTAGATTTTTGAAACAGGGTCTCAGTAGGCATTTCAGGCTGTCCCTGAACTTACTATGTAGCCCAGGTTGGTCTACTTGCTATTATCTTCTTGCCTCAGCCTCCCCACTCCTGGGATTATAGACATGATCCACTATGACCAGCCCTTTGTTAAAAATCTTAATTTCAGTTGGGCATAGTGGTGCATGCCTGTAATTCCACCACTCAGGAGGCTGAGGCAGGAGGATCACAGGAGTTCAATGCCAGCCTGCACTACAAGAGAGCCTGTCTTAAAAACCTTAATTTCAGGACTAGGGAGATAGCTCAGAGGCATAAGCACCTACCTGGCAAGCACAAGGACCTGAGTTTGATCCCTGGCCCCGCATTCCATGCAGTCAACCCTGGGTGCGTCATCGCACCAGGATCCCTGAGCACCCACCATGTGGCCCTAGAACCAATCCCAGCACTCGGGAGGTTGAGGCAGGAGGATCTCTGTGAATTTGAGACCAGCCTGGGGGCTACACAAGTGAGCTCAAGGCCAGCCCAAATTGCAAAGTGAGACCCTGTCTCAAACAAAACAAAACAAAACAAAAAAACAATTTCTCAGATTCTACCTCTCCTCTCTATGAAGTAGGGAATCACACCTGCAGGCTCTCAG